AAGGAAAAAATATGAGAAGAGGAAAAAAATGGAAACAAGGTCTTTGCAAGTAGGGAAGGGTGGAGGGGGTGAAGGCAGGGCAAGGGAAGGGGAAATAAAATAAGAACCAAGAGACTCATGTAATGGTACAAGATCCCAATGATGAATGTAATTGTATTGTATACCTAAAATGTACCAATAAAGTTAATGAGGGGAAAAAAAAAAAATCTACCAACACAAAGAAAAAAAGCCCAGCTTCCCAATGGATTCATTGCTGAATTCCACAAGAAATTTATAGAAGATCTAATACCACTACTCCTCAAACTCTTTAATGAAATTGAAACGGAAGCAACATTCTCAAATTCATTTCTGGAAGCAAGCCTGGTACCAAAATCAGAGAAGGATCCAACCAAAAAAAAGAGAACTACAGGCCAATCTCCCTAATGAACAGAGACACAAAAAACCTCAATAAGATACTGGAAATGCAGCAAATCATCAAGAAGCTTATATATACCATGACCAAGTAGGATTCATCCCAGGGATGCAGGGATGATTGAACATATGAAAATCAAAAAATGTAATACACAATATTAACAGCCAAGGACAAAAACCACATGATCATCTCAATAGATGCAGAAAAAGCATTTGACAAAGTCTAACACCCATTCATGACTTAAAAAAAAAAAAAAATCTATAGAAAAGTGGAATAAATGGTCTTTATCTCAATCTGATAAAAGCCATTTACGACAAACCAACAGCCATCACTCTAAATGATCAAAAACTGAAAGGTTTCACTCTAAAATCAAGAACAAGACAAGGATATCCACTATCACTATTCTTATTCAATATAGTTCTGGAGACATTGGTCAGAGCAATTACACAAGGGAAAAAAATAAAAGGAATAAGAATAGGAAAAGAAGAAGTTAAATTACCATTATTTGCTGATAACATGATATTCCACATAGAAAATCCCAAAAATCCCACCAAAGGACTTGTAGATTTAATAACCAAATTCAGTAGTGTAGCTAAGAACAAAGTCAACACTCAAAAATTCATAGCATGGGCTGGGGATTTAGCTCAGTGGTTCCAGCACCTGCCTCGCAAGCGCAAAGTCTCGAGTTTGATAGCTGGTACCAAAAAAAAAAAACTTCCATAGCATTCCTGTACACAAAAAACAAAAGTTTCCAACAGAGAAATTAGGGAAACCACACCTTTCACAATAGCATCAAACTCTAAAGGGGCTGGAGATTTAGCTCAGTGGTGCCACCACCTGCCTCGCAAGCGCAAGGTCCCGAGTTCAATCCCAGGAACCAAAAAAAAAAAAAAATCTAAAGGAAAATAAAATTTTTTTAAAAAAATCTAAAGGAGTAGGGGCAGTGGGAGAGGTAGGGGAAAGGAAAGAAGGGGTAAAAATATGAAAAAAGAAAAAAATGAAAACAAAGTCTTTGTAAATAGGGAAGGGTGAAGGGAGGGCAGGGGAATGGGGAAAAAATAAGAACCAAGATACATCATGTAAAGGTACAAGATCCCAATGATGAATGTAACTGTATTGTATACAAAATGTACCAATAAACTTAATGAAAAAAAAAGCATCAAAAAATGTAAACTTAGGAATCTAAAGAAGGAAGTTAAAAGACCTTTACATTGAAAAGTACAGTACTTTGAAAAAGGAGATCAAAACAGGGTATCAGAAATGGAAAGATATCCCTTGCTCTTAGGTAGGAAGAATCAATATAGTGAAAATGGCCATACTTTCAAAATTGTTAGAGATTTAATGAAATCCCAATCAAAATACCAATAACATACTTGACAAAATTAGAGCAAACAATCCTAAAATTCATTTGGAGCCAGAAGAGACCTAAAATGGCAAAGGTAATTCTGGGCAACAAAGGCAAGGCTGGGAGCATCACAATCCCTGACATGAAATTATACTACAAAGTTACTGTGATAAAAAGAGTATGGTACTGGCAAAAAAACAGACCCGAGGATCAATGGAATAGATTAGAAGATGCAGAAATAATTCCAAACATACTTAACCCACCTTATCTTTGACAAAGGAGCCAAACACCTTCACTGTAAGAAAGCCTCTTTAATAAATGGTGCTGGGAAAACTGGCTTTCCACATGCCAAAGATTAAAACTAGACCCTTATCTTTCACCATGCACTAAACTCAGGTCAAAATGGATCAAAGATATAAATATTAAAACAGAAACACTAAATCTGCTGAAGATAGAATAGGTAGAACTCTTGAAAACATTGGTATAGGCAAAGACTTTATGAACAAAACCCCAATCGCACAAGAAATATCACAAAGAATCAAGAACTAGGATCTCATCTTATTAAAAAGCTTCTGCATAGCAAGAGAAACCAGAGTGAAAAGACAACCCACAGTGTGGGAAAAAAATTTTGCCAGATGTTCCTCAGACAAAGGACTAATATCTAGAATTATATAAAGAACACAAAAAAACAGACTCCCCAAATTTAAAGACCCAACTCAAAAATGGACATCTGAAATGAATAGACATTTCTCAGACGAAGAAGTAGAAATGGGAAATAAACATAGGAAAAAATGTTTAACATCACCGGTCATTCAGGAGATACAAATTAAAACAACACTGAGAGTCTATCTCACTCTGGAAAGAATGGCTATTATCAAGAAATCAAACAAAACAGCCAGGCATTTAGCTCAGAGTTCCGCCACCTGCCTCACAAGGTCCCAAGTTTGATCCCCAGTACCAAAGGAAAAAAAAAAAGAAATCAAACAAAAACAAATCAAGAGCTGGGCGTGGTGAGCATGTCTGTAATCGTAGAACTTCGGAAGCTAAGACAGGAGGATTGCTGCATGTTCAAGGCCAGCCTGAGCTACATAGTGAATTCAAAGCCAGTCCAAACTACACAGTGAGAGCCTATCTCAAAAAAAAAAGCCTCTCAAGGTCCTGAGTTTGATCCTCGGTACAAAAAACAAAAAACAAAAAAATCAGAAAATAAATGCTGGAGGGGCTGTGGAGAAAGCTGTAAGTGGGAATGTAGACCAGTGTAAGCACTGTGGAAATATGTGTGGCGATTCCTCAAAAAACTAAAACTAGAGGTTCCTCTTCTTCTGGAATTAAAAGCATCATACCATAGTAATATATGCACATCTATGTTTATAGAGACACAGTTTGTAATAGCTAAGTCTTGGAAACAACCCAAATGCCCATTAACTGAGGAATGGATAAAGATGTGGGTTTTTTGGTTTTTTGTTTTTTGGTATGGCGGATCGAACTTGGGACCTTGTGCTTTCGAGGCAGGCAGCGGCACCACTGAGCTAAAACTCCAGCCCAAGGTGTGGTTTTTTATACAATGGAGTACTACTCTGCCATACAGAGGGATAAGTGTGAGACCTTTCTAGCTAAATGGATGCACCTTGAGACCATACTCTTAAGTGAAATAAATTGGACACACATGTTTAAGTACCACATTGTTTCTCTGGTGTGAGAAACAAAAAGTGCAAATAAGGACTAAAATATATAATCAGATATTGGGAAAAGGGAAGAAAATGTTCAAATGAGAAGAGGAACAAGTCGGGGGGGGGAAGGGACAAGAAACAAAGCTTTTATAAATGAAGGGCAGAGAGGTAGAAATGGGAACGGGAAAAAAGCAGCAAGATATATCACATACAGGTACAAATTCCCTATGATGAATGTGATCATTATGTATATCTAAAATGTACCAAGGAATGTTTTGCTTCAAAAAATATCTTATTTTGAGCCAAGGTCTCACAAAGTTGTTAAACTGCCCAACCTGGGCTCAAACTTGTAATCATCCTGCCTCAGCCTCCCAGAGTGTTGGGATTACTGGAGTGCTATTACTCCCAGCTAAGAGACATACAAATTAAAGTAATTTTGGGAGAGGATGTTGGGGATTGAAGCCAGGGTCTCATGGATGCTAAGCAGGCACTCTACCACTGAGTGACATCCAACACCAAAATGATAAATGTCTAAAATTTATCAGATCACCAAAAATTAACAAGAACGATCATGTTCTGTGTTGTTGGGAAGGAAAACTGGCACTTTCGTTATGGGGTGCAAAATGGTAGCAACTAGGACAATCTGAAATGTACAAACTTTCTGGTTTCCTTGGTTTTAGTTTTGTTTTTTTTGTTGTGCACATTTTCTGACCAGAAATTCCACTTTTAGCTATCTATTCACATAAAAACTCTGCTCAGTGCAGCACTGTTTATAATTTTTTAAAGTCTGAAACTATCTAACTGCCCATTCATTTAAAAATATACATTTTTTAATTCTTATTTTTTGGTACCAGGAAAAATATATTTTTTTAAAGAAACAGCTGTATGTGGTGCTGCGTGCCTGCAATTTCAGCACTCAGGAGGCTGAGGCAGGAGGATTGCCGTGAGTTTGAGGCCAACCTGGGCTACATAGTGAATTCAAAGCCAGTCTGAACTACACTGTGTGACCCTGACTCATGAAACAAACAAACAAAAATGTTATAGTACTACAATCTAATAAAAATAGACTGAGTTATCTCTTCTGATATGGAAAAATGGCCTTGCTATACATTAGTAAGTGAAAAAGAAAACTTGTATAGTTATGGTTCCAATATTATATTATTATGTTTTTTAAAAGGAAAACAAAAAAAGATCCAAAACCATTTTGAGTAGTATTTGTAAAAACACAAAAGAAGGACTAAAAGGATATACAATGAACATTTAATAATAGTACCTACAGGAACAAGAAGGAGAAAGAAAAACAAAAGTTTTTACAATCAGGAACACAGGCAGCAAATGTATACAGGTAACTTTTTAGATTAAAAAAAAAGTTCCGACCTGCCTCTGTCAATCTCCCCACACCAACATGAAAAGCTTACCAGTTCTTGCCACTGGTAGTGCACACCTGTGATCCCAGCAGTTAGGGTTCAAGGCCAGGCTGGACGAGAGTACAGAGTTTAAGCCCAGCCTTGACCACACAGCGAGACCTCATCTTATACACAACAAAAAACAAAAACACACTACAGACTCTTACCTGTCTAATTTCTCTTCTGCGTGAGTTTTCAGGGCCTGATATCGCTGTTCCTCTTGTTTGACTCTGGCTAAGTAATCCTGAGCACATTTTTTCAAGGCTTCTTCATTCTGTTTCAAAGTGAAAATTAAAAAATAAACAGGTTGGGCCGGGGATGTAGCTCAGTGGTTCTGGTGCCTGAAACGCAAGCGCAGGGTCCTGAGTTCAATCCCGGATAAACAGGTCATTTTGTTTTTCTACTAGTAATATACTGTGTATCAGAATTCACTTTTTTTAAAATGAAAAAACTAATTCAGATATGAATAGGCACATGCAATTCTAACTGAACACGTTCTATATAATTTCTTTGCTAATATTCAATATCATACAGTGGGGTTCAGCTGTATCAAGACAACTCCTTTAGGAAAGTACTTATTCAACACTGAATGGTGATTTGACTGCTCTTCATATTTTTTTTTTTTTGGTAACGGGGATCGAACTCAGGTCCTTGTGCCTGCACAGCAGGTGGCGAAACCACTAAGCTAAATCCCCAGCCCCTCTTCATTTTTATTTCATATGAAAATAAAGAATTTCAAAGGGTGGGGCCACAGCTCAGTAGTAAAGTGCCTGCCTAGCATGTGTATGGTGTCAGGTTTGACTCTAGCACCACACACACATACACACAGAGCACACTGTATGGGCCAGTTGCCACCTGGACAACGACAGAGAGAAAAAACTGGAAAAAAGCCATCTTCGTCGGAGAAGACACAAGACCACAGGGCCCTGAGCTCCACTAAAAAGCTGTCCGCCCAGCCCTGTACACACATATGTGCCGATCCACTATGAGGAATCTCCCCCCATTAGTCAGGGGACACAGAAAAGGACACATCACCTTCTTGAATCCTTCCAGCACGCCTTTCAGGTTCTCGTATCTCCTGAAGAGGTCAGAAAGGGACCTTTCCACAGAGTTCAGGTCAGCCAGCGCCTGTTCCTTCTCCATGGTCAGCTGCTGAAAGCTCTTCTGAGAGGTCATGCTGGTCCTCTGTTCATCTTCTGGGAATCACCAGTCAAAAGCAACGGCTGCTTATTTTGATGTGTTTATTACACACAGAGCTAACAGCTACTCTGCCAGCCAAGCAATGTTCTCAGTGATGGGGACACAGCCATGAGTGTTACAGAATTCATTTCTCAAGGCCTTACATTCTGGCAGGGGGAGACACAGAGTGACAAGGGATGGGGAAAAACCAAAGCAGGGAGAGAGGGATGGGGCAGCAGAGTGGCTGGTGTGGTAGAGAGGGGCCTCCTTCTGAGGTGAGATCTGAGCAGAGACTTGAAAGGACCCAGGTGGGAGCCATGCAGCACCAGGGAAGTGAGTTCACAGTGGGGACAGTATGGCAAAGGCCCATCGGAAGGCAGAAAACTCTCTCTTCAGTATACACATGCTGGAAGATCAGACCTGCTTTGACAGAGGGAATCAATCCTTACAGTATTCACTAGCAGATGCTCTAAGTTCAGGGCAGGATGATGGAGCACGCTGGCTCTGATGAAGGGAAATCTGAACTCCCAGTGGGTAGAGACACCACATCAGAAGAAAGGACTCCACAGTGGCCCAACACACTGGGTACTGCACACACAGAGGGCTTCTCAAAGAAGCGATTACAGTTGACCCTTGCTATTTACCATCTCTATCTAACAATTTGCCTACTTGCTCAAATTTATTTGTATCTCAAAATCAATACTCATGGGCTTTCACTCATTTTTGGACATAAGACTAAAATTTTTATTCCTCTGATGAACACAATCTTACTTGAAGCTGAACCAGGTAACATTCTGCCATCTTGTTCCACACCATAAACAAGTGAACTTTCTGTGGTCTACTAGTGCCATTTTTGCATTTTAGTGTTTTTTGCCGGTGACCTTGCTGTTGGAAATCACCCCAAAGGTGGTGCTGAAGTGCTGACTCGTGTTCCTAAGCATAAGAAGCTATGCTATGCCTTAATACATGTGATAAGCAAGCTTCACTCAGATATAAGTTAAAGGGCTGTTGGCCATGAGTTCAATGCTAATAAATGAAAAATATGTATCAAATAAGGTGTCTTCAAACAGGAATACACGTAAGACAAGGTTGCACACCCTTCAGCTGATGAAAACACTCTGACCAGGGGCTTACAGGCACTAATCCTCTATGTCCCTTAGGTTTCAGTAGTCACGATTCAGTATATGCAGCAACCTTACAGCTCAGCCACCATGGAGTAAGTGGCAGACAAGCTAGTCTGTGTCATGATTGAAAGTCAACCAGGGATCTTGCCATAATCTCACCGTTTACGCTCCCTGGCCCTCTGTTCACAGGTGGAGATCTACTCCCCAGAGTGATAGTGTTGGGAGAGGAGGTAATTAGGTCACCAGGGCAGAGAGAGGATTAGTGTCCAGGTAAAACAGACCTGGATCAGAGAACATTATGTTAAGTGAAGTGAGCCAGGCACAGAAAGACAAACACTGCAAGTTCTTGGTCATATGTAAAAACTAACAAGTTGATTTCACAGAAGTAGAGAACAGGATAGTGGTCAGTGAAGTGGGAGGGAGTAGGAATAGAGGGAGGCTGGGTACTGAGTACCAAAATACAGGTAAACAGGAGGAACAAGTTCTAGTGTTCTACAGCATAGTAGGGCGACTACTGTTTATCACAATTTACTATGTATTTTATAAAGTGCTAGAACACGGGTATTCAAAGGTTCCCAATACAAAAAAATGATAAATGTTTGAGATGAAAATATTAAATTACCCTAGTTTAATCATTACACATTGTATTCATGTTTGGAATTCTAATACTGTAATCCATAAATATATACAACGACTATGTGTCAGAGATAGGGAAAGAGGGAGGGGAGGAGGGAGAGATACATACACCCCAGGGACCCCAGGGGAAGAGAGACAGATGCAGGTCCAGAGAACTAGGCAGCCTTCCAGCCACCATGTGAGAATGAAGTGAGAAGGGACTAAGACAGTGGTGGCGGACCTATCGGGAATGCAAAGCATCTTTGTCAGCACTGGAGCATCAGATAACAGGTGTTTTTTGGTTTTTTGGGGGTACCCGGGATCGAACTTGGGACCTTGCACTTGCAAGGCAGGCAGTGGCACCACTGAGCTAAATCACTGGCCCTAACAGGTGTTTTTTTAAACTAAAAAGGTTTAATTGCAGTGTTAGCCCTTTGTGATAAATAAGTGAGTTTTGGGTTGGTTTGGGCACTTGGTTTCTAAAAGGTTCTCCATCACTGCACTGAGAGGAAGAGGCCTTTGCCAGACACTGAATCTGCCAGAGCCTTGACAACTGTGAGAAAGAAATGTCTCCTGTTTATAATCCACTCAGACTATGGCAGTCAGAACAAGCCAGGACAGATCCTATGGCTCATATCCTAGGAAGAAGCTTTCTCCTTACCAATCATTTGGGCAATGGTCTTTTCATATTCAGCCACAATTTTCCTAAATAAGAAAAAAAATGTATTATCAGAACAAAATTTGCAAACAATGAAAGTTAGAGAAATGTTGCCCCAACAATTAAACTCATTAACACACACTTTAAAAATTTACATAACCTGTTCACCTGCACCCCCATCCCCTTTTTGTTTAGGTTTCTTAAAAAGGCTTGTGGGCCGGGGATTTAGCTCAGTGCTGCTGCCACCTGCCTTACAAACAACAAGGTCCTGAGTCCAATCCCCAGTACAAAAAAAACCCAAAACCAAAAACAAACAAGGTTTGTACTCGCAGCCCCACAGAACAGGGGGGACACAACAGAATGTTGTTTATAATTTTTGGTACTGGTGAATGAACCTAGGGCCCTGTGCATGTTAAGCATATGCTCTACCACTGAGCCACATCCCCAGCCCAAAAATGTTTCCTTAATATTTTGTTTAATAAGTCTTTTATTCTATTTGTAAAAACAAAGGCCTTTACTTTCTCTGTGTATCTATTTGAATACTTCAAGACAACAGACTAATTCCACCCAGACAAATAAATCTTTTCGGCCAGGGATGGTAGTACATAGCTATAATCCTAGCACTCTGGGAGGCTGAGGTAGGAGGACTGCAAGTTCAAACTTACCCTATAACATGGTGTGCCTTAATACACGTGATAAAGAAGCTTCATTTAGATGAGTTAAAGGGCCACTGGCCATGAGTTCAATGCTAGTAACTGAACAGTATTTATTAGCCTATAAATATTTATTTCTTCAGTTAACTCTTCAGAGCACTTCCTACAAGAGCCAATTTGACTTCAGGCTTTCCTTGCTCCAATTCACCTTTCTAGGTACCCTGTCCCCTCTGATGCAGTTGAAAGTTTTATATCCTAATTACAAAAGTACCTCACTTATTCAAAGACTTTAAGGATCACCCTCTCAGATGAACCTTTCATCTAGTGAAGTACCACAGTGTCCTTTCGACCCTGTGCAGTGCCAGGACTCTTCCCTGGGGTCCCTCACTGGTGGTGTCCTCTACATCCAAGCTCCTACTGATGGTGGCTGTGAGCTCTCTCTCTGAAGCCACGGCTGTCCCTTACTCTGCACCCAGCCCACCACAGGGCCTTACATCTAGCACTGCTCAAAAAAACAAGTAATACAGTAGCCACAAATTAGAGTGGTCATAAATAAAATGTTCTTAATCACTCAAGTGCCGAATGTATGCTGTACGAATTATTTATACATTTTTTTCTTTTCCTCTTTGATGCTATTTTTAGATACTGAACAGCTCATAACTAGACAGTGACCAGGAAAAATAAAAATATTTCAGTTTAAAGTAAATCAGTTTTGTTTCCTCTTAACATGCTTGTTATAATCTATTTGGTGATTATGTAACATAAAGTATCACATATAATTAACTTTTTGAAAGTATTATGCATTTCAATGTTTCTATCCTAAAACAAGTCAATAAATCTTATCACTCTGTATTCCAAACAGACATTTCTATAAAGTTCTGTCAATTCTTTAAAAAAATGCCTGTAATCCCAGATCTTAGAAAACTTAGGCATGCAGATTGCAAATTTGAGCCCAGCCTGGACAACTACTGTTGGGCATGAAGGCACACACCTATAATCCCAACACTCTGGGAGGCTGAGGCAGAAGGACTGCAAGTGTGAGCCCAGCCTGGGCAACATAGTGAGATCCTGTCTCAAAATTTATAAAGGTGCTGAGGTATAGTTCAGTGCAAAGGTCCAGGGTTCAATTCCTACTGCCACAAAGCAAAACAAACATAAATAAAATTTTAAAAAGTAAAAAAGCAGGGGCAGGGATTTAGCTCAGTGGTTCTGCCACCTGCTTCACAAGTGCAAGGTCCTGAGTTTGATCCCAGGTACCAAAAAAAAAAGTAAAAGGGCTGGAGAAGTAGCTCAGTGGTAGAGAGCCCTTAGGGATCGATCTCCAGTTCCACCAAAAAAAGACAAGAACTATGAAGTTCTGCTTATATATGTAATACTCTGAACAACCCAAGACAACCTGCGCTACTGGAGTAGAGGGCTATCACTCACAGCTCAGTCCCACTGTGAATGCCTAGAGCAAGCCCTCGGGCTCTCAGGAGTGGCCCTGGGACAAGTAAACACCTCTGCACAAAGGCCTCTGACCTCCCCCCAGCTTCCAGGCTAACCTCATCTCCAAGACTTCTTGCCGAGTCTCTTCATATTTTTTCTTCCATTCATTTGCTTCAATTTCTTTACTGATTATCTAAATCAAAATAAAGCTTGGTCTTAACTCAGTCTATTATAATCTTTGAATTCAACATTGAAGACTGAAAACACAAAATCAAGTACAACCTACGACAACAGGAATATAAAACCTCAGCATTTCTTTAACCTTCCTAAACTTTTGGAAAAGGGCACATACAACCACATGGAGGGCTAAAACATAGCCACCAGGGTAAGGAGGAACAACCTCTGAATTCTAACGTGGCCCAGAGACTGGCTCTCAATTCTGTAGGCCTAAAACCTGACCAGGCAGGACACTAAGGCAGAGCCATCTGTCTGGCAAATTCACCTTCACCAAAGCCACATAATTGCAGCAGTACCAGATTATCAATTTTCTTTGGGATGAGAAATCAAAGTGCCACAAATCAGAATGTTAGAAACTGACACAAGACATCTCTGACTGCTTAATAAGGATGGAGTTGGAAGGTGGGGCACAAAAGGATAATCCCCCAGGTTGGGTACATCCCTCTCTAGCAGCCAGCACAGTGGGCAGGATCTTCCTAGTCAGACCAGAACCCATATCCATATTTGGGATGTGCTTGCTAACTGGAAAGACACACATTAAATCCATCCCTTAACTCCACTTCCCTGGTCAGGGCCGGGAGGCAATTCACAGCTGTCCTTTCACAGCTCTTCCCGGGCTGTGTTTCCCTCTTCTAATTGGTAAGCTCCTTATTTTGTTATCTTTAATAAGGATTTCAAGAACAGAAGCCACCTGTGTGCTTCTGGTGACAAGGGACATCTTTGCTTTGATCTGTAAAGTGGTCAAGTCATAGTCTAACTTTCAGGAGGAAGATGAAATCCCTTTTCTCATTTATAAGATTCTGACAGGTCTCACCACTGTGCCCAACCTGACAACAGCACTGACATCCTGCATTACCAGCTTAAAGCTCTTTTATAAAATGGTGAAAGACCTACAACTGTGGTGCTTAACTACTTTCATCATATATAAAACCAAGCTTGCAGGGCTGGGGATTTAGCTTAGTGGTTTCGCAGCCTGCTGCGCAAGTGCAAGGACCTGAGTTTGATCCCTGGTACAAAAACAAAACAAAACAAAACCAAGCTTGCTACATCAAGAGAATTATCTTTTTAAAAAGGAGGAAGTTTTAAGAAACACAAGTCATACACATAAGATACAGCACAGACATGTGTCAGAAGAGGGTGGTAACTGATCGGCAGAGTGTTAACAGTGTCTTCCATATTTTCAGATCACCCGGGAAAAGCAGGCCAGTAATCTAAGTAGAATAGGAGCTATTGAGTAAACACAATATAGGAACAGGGAGACAAACTGTTTAAAGAATGGATGGAATTAGGAACTAATTTTATACTGTGACAAGACTAGAATTTGACACATTCTTTGGCATGAGCTTACACAGACCAGAGCAGAGTTGGCTAACTTAGATATTTAAAGCTTCAAGACTAAAAAGGGAAAGAAGTATACAAAATTTCTAAGAATGTCTCAGAACATCCACTTTTTTCCTGGAAACCAGCATATCAGACTCCAGCACTAACGCTGGGTTTTACAGTGAGCCCTTTAGTGAGTACACAAACTACAGGGAAAGAATCTCAAGCCAACAGAGATGGAATCTATTGGCAGGCACATGGGCTTTACAAAGAAACAGAGTGACAAGCAGACAGAACCAGAAGGCCTTTACCTCTTCTCTTATCAAGGTGAGCACAGCAGTCTTATCTGATTCACTCATGCAGATTCCATCCAGGGGGCTCTCACTGTCGCAGACCACAGACACAGGGGCCTTCTCTGAGGACACATGTAGTCCCTGTGTGGGGAAATCACATTGAATACACTTAGTCCTCAGCTACCTAACCTCCATATCCTTCAATAATTTCCTTATTATTAAACTGATCACACTCTTTTAAAACATGCTTTGTAGAAACAAAACAAAACAAGAAGGAAGCATTAAAAAACAATCTAGTTACAGGACCACAAAAGAAAAATTGTTCTAATGATTATTAGGCTAGTCTTGAGTTTGCTGAACAGATAAGCTGGACAAGTTTTCTTTTTATCCAAAAGGAAGAAATGGTAATTATCAAGTGGTTAGTCACAAAAGACTCACAAGTGTTAAAGAGACACATTTAATGGCTCATTTTTTCTGAGGGTTCCTGGGAGTGATATGCTCCACACAAACAATTTTTCTACAATAGTGACAGCTGTCCCTTCTACCTATGGATATCTGTATATGTCTTTATTTAGCCCTATGGGTGGAAATGTTTCTAAGATGAATTACTAATCTCCAGGGTGAAGGCGTCCCCTTGGATGACCGGAACAACATGAACACCACTTGCTCTGCAGTGGAGGCCTGCTATAACCCAGCAATGCTGCTGGGAGCACCCCATGACTTGCCCGTATACAGTGGTCACATGTAAGTCAAGTCCTGTGCCTGGTTTGTTTTGTTCTCTATTACATTTTCAGCTCACTTCTGGTAGTATTTATCTTCTGAGGCACCAATTTGATTCTATGATAAACTTACCTCCAGAGAACCATAGTAGGTTAGTATTTTGTTTTTCACAAGGACATGGACTATCTTCCTTCTCAAAAGGCGTTTGTCTTAGTCACTTTTCTCATTGCTAAGACAAAATACCTGACACCCACAAGTTAAGGAGGAAAGGTTTATCTGGCTCATAGTTTGTAGAGGTGTCAGTCCATAGTTGGCTGGCTCCAAAGCAGGGTGGCATAGCAGTGGAGAAACAGTTCATAGCAGGACAGGCAGAGGGCAGCAAAGCAGTGAATGCTGATAGCAGCCCTCTTTCGGTCCCTTATATTCTATCCAGATACACAAGGTAGCTTAGGGTAGCACTCACAGCCAGGGTGGGCCTTCCCATTATCACACCCAGAACTATGCAAACAAATCAGTGGACTAATTTAGAATCACACATCCAAGCCCCACCTATGATCAAATCGAAAGCCAGCCAAAGTGACTTGGGGATAATTTTAATAAACTTAAGTGTGATTACAACTTAATCACAAATACTTATTAAACGTGACTACAATTATAATTACTTATTAATTTATAATCAATCCATTCTTCAGTGTCTTTTTTTCTTTGTTTTGGTTTGCAGGCCTCATGTATCTTGTTTTAACCATGATGAAACAGAAAGTCCAACATATACTTAGACCAGTGGCTTTTAAACTTTTCTGGGTCATTATAACTTCACCCTCTCTTTCTAAATGTTCAAAAACAGATGAATAATTTAGCAGACAGCTCCACAGACCTCAGCCATGGACCCAAGAAAGAAACTTATCTTAAGCCACAGAAAAGGGAAATACAAAAGCCACAATCTAGCAGGGCCCTCCAAAGTTCCCCCAGAACCTTTCTATACTGGGATAGATCTATTGCTAGAATGAGGGGAACTTGTGGTGGCAGCCTTCACCATGGCTCTACAGCCCCCCACCCCCTAATACGAACTCTCTCGTATAGCTCCTCCCTTTGGGTGAGGCTGGACTTCACAGTGACTCACTAGGATATGCCAACAGTCCTACATGTCACTTCTGAGATTAGCTTACAGAAAGGCTGTGGCTTCCATGTTTGGAGAGGTTCTAGGGAAAGGCCCATAAGAAGAAACTACGGTCTATGCCAACAACCATGTGAACGAACTTGAAACCACCCCAAGTCACACCCAGAGAAGATCACTGCCCTGAATGATAACTGTAGTCACAAGAGACCAGAGTCAGAGCATCCAGCAAAGCCACTTTAGAATTCCTAACCTACAGAAACAAGGAGACAGTAATGTTTGCTGTTTTAAGACACTAAATTTTGGATCAATTTGTTAGGGACCCAGATACACCCCTGGATATGGGGATCATCTCATTAACTACCTGTGCTTTGTTTTTTGGAGACAGGGTCTTGCTATGCAGTTTAGGCTGGCCTAAAACTCACAGCAATCCCCCTGCCTCAGCCTCCCTAGTGCTGCGATTACAGGCATGCACCACCATACCAGGCACTGTGCCTTATTTTTAATTAAAAAAAAGCTTCTCACAATCTTGCTTCTGCTATAACTTGTCTAAAGGGAGAAATGAACTTGGTCAACCTGTTTGCCTTTGTGATTTTAAGCTAAGACATTTCACAATCAGTCTTGAGTTCTTATCATTTTAAGTCAGAGTCTCCAAATCCAGCCGGCTCGAGGAAACTGCCTGTGTCTCTCATGGCCATCATGTTATTGAGAATTTGGGGAAAAGTCCAAGTCTCCTTAGCAAGGAAAATACTACCATCCACGCTAAAGTTCACATTCATTTGTGGAGGGGATATATGAGTCTACTTGGCCTAATCATGCAACCACCTAATACTAACAGACTGATGTCCTCAACAGGCAGCATTCAGAGGCTACCAGTGGGAGATCAGACTAGAGATGGTGGCCAGGTGAGAGGCTCTGATGTCTCCAGCTGTTTCCTGGTCATTCCTCATGGCACCATCCACATGCCACCAGCCTTGCCGCTCAAAATCCAACAGATGAGTTTATCAGGGCAGGAATTTATACTGTGATCTTTTTAGCCACGTTCCTAGGATTTAACCTATTACATTCCTTAGTCCTTTATGTTGCTTTTCAGGCAGTGCAAAAAGTTTATGAAATCTACTGTCACAAAGAACTAGCTAGACAATCTCTTTTAGGGCTGGGTTAGACTCTAGTATGTGCTTAACAGCCTGAATCAGTCAACTGTACCCTTCTAAGGGTCTGGTTTCATATTGCCTAGCCCTTCTGCCCTGCTCCTGCAAGGCACTCACACAACAGCACCCTAGCTGCAAATTTACAGGGAGATGGAGTCTCTGGGTGACACCCTTGCAAGACAGAACTAGCATCACTGAGCTGTGCTGTGCTGTGGTGCCTGTCCTCATCCAACCATCTGTCCTTGAGTTCCCGGAGTGATACTAGCCACTGCCACTTCCAACTAGACAAACTGAGAAAAACCGTATGAGCGCAACTTTTAAGAAGACTAAGGTGTTAAATATTTCAAAATTTTATTCATAAAATTTTTTGTACTTTCATAGGTAATTTTAAAATTATTCAACTATTTTAATAATTTACAAGTAAGGTTTTGCTTTATGTTTCTGAATAATAATTTAGTATACGGAAGAAAGCTATTGGTCTGGTTATATTAATTTTATTTTACATTAGGGCTCTCTCCCTTCTAATAGTTTTTCAAACAATCTCTTCTGATTTACTGATAAAATTTATATCAAGCACAATACAATGGAAATTTAACTTCTGACTTTCAAGTGCACATCAATTGTTCTTGCTTCAAATATGTATGTATATTTGTAGTTATGTACAGGTGCATATATACTAATACATCTAGATCTATCTGTGTTCATATGTAGATATTCATCCATATTCTTAATATATTTCCACTGATGCATTTTTACATGTTTATTATTGGTTATTCCACATTGATCTATGCTTCTAAAAAGAAATTCTGTTTCTACTATGAACCACTAACTTTACCATCATATAGAATACATACACATTTGTGTGTGTGTATCTTTGTGTATTGAGTTTAAGACTTCTTTTTTGTTTTGTTTTTGGTACCGGGGATCGAATTCAGGTCCTTGTGCTTGCAAAGCAGGTGCCGGAACCACTGAGCTAAATCCCCGGCCCAAGCCTTCTTAAAAAAATAAAATGAAAAATGCTGCAGACCAACAGCTGCAAGGCAAGATAAGACTTAATCCTCTTCACTCACTGTGCTCTGGTCTTAGGTATTTTGTCTCAGACATTAACTGTCACTGGACATAAGACTGCAATAGAAATATACTCTAAAGTAACACAGACAAGGGGTTTAAAGGTAAATGGTAGATGAGATATTTTGGGGGTCTTTTTCTGTGGTATTGGGAATTGAACTGAGGGCCAGCCTCATGCATGCTACACAAATGCTCTAACCCTGAGCCGCATCTTCAACCCGCCTCCCTTTATTTTTCATACGGAGACACATATTTGCTAAACTGCCCAAGTTGACCTCGAATCTGGGTATCCAGATTCCCTTCCCTCTTTCCTTCTGCAGATCTTTATTCAACATTTTGAAGACTGAAATTTCTTTCCTTTTGAGAGTGGGTGCTAGAGATTAAAGCGAGGGTCTCAAGCATGCTAGGCAAGTGTTCTACCAGAGATATATCCCTAGCCCTTAGACTGAAATTCTTTACACAATATTTCTTCAATATTCTAAAGAAGTAGGCTTATGTAAGGAGTGTAATGGGATTACTTTTTTGGGGGGGATTACTTTTTAAGGGGTGAGAGCATGTACATTCCTCACCAGCTAGCTCTAGGGGCAAGTATTCTCTACTGCCTTCTTTCATTCTTTCCCACCTATTTCCTATCGACATGTTTGTTACCTTACACCAGTCTAACATGTTACAGTTTGATCTTTCATGTTTTCATTTCATTTTATCCTCACCACTCTGATGAGGCAGACAGGTGCTGCTTATTTTATGATAAGCTGGGAGTCAGGAAGTTTAAACAGTTTCAAGAATTGGGTAAACCATCTGAGTCTGCAGCCATACAGAGACCAAAGCTCTGTCCACTCAAAATCCCTTCTTCAATCATCTTTTGCTATTTTTACACACTGAAAAGACTAGGAAATGTTCCTCTTGTACTTGAGAAACTTTAAAAGGAATTGGTCTCAGGGCTGGAGATGTAGCTTAGCAGTTTAGTACACACCTACCATCCACAAGACCCTCAGTTCAAGCCCACAAATAAACACACAAAAAACACCCAACAAACAAAAAAAAACCAAAGCAAAAGGATCCAGGTTTCCAAGTTGCACAGTCAAGTTGTTTTGGTAGGTGGTAGCAGAGCACAGAGTTTCATGCTCTCACAAGTAAAGATAAGAGGTACTGCTTTTTTTCAGATAAGGATATTGAGGCTCAACCTCTGAAAGTAGCTACAGTGGGATTACATGACCTGGCTCCCAAGAAAGCTGAGGATCACATGTTTCTCAGCAAAAGTTATTCTGTCTGGAAACAAATGTCACTAATGTGTGAGACCCCTCTGAGAGGACAATGATTTCCATGTGTGTTATGTGTATGTTCTTCCTTTTCACTTCCTACCCTGCTTCTAAGGTCCTGTGCACCTAAGAGGTCAGGCATCTCATTCTGTATTCTCTAGGGAAATACTGTGGGTCATGGGCCAACCGTGAATAAGGAAAACAATTTAGTGGCACAGATACTCTACACTAAGGGAAAAAAAAAGGAAAGAAAATAGAATAGGAAGTATCACAGTGAATCCCATGAAGAAAGGCTGATAATCATGCAACTGGTTTTTTTTTTTTGGTACCGGGGATCGAACTCGGGTCCTTGCGCTTGTGCAGCAGGCAGCGAAACCACTGAGCTAAATCCCCGGCCCTGCAACTGGTTGTTTTTACAAATGCGTATGTTGTGACATGGCATGCATGTAATAATGGTCAACACTTGAAGTCTGTTTTTTTTGTTTTGTTTTGTTTTGTTTTTGGTACTGGGGATCAAACTCGGGTCTTTGCGCTTGTGCAGCAGGCGGCAAAGCCACTGAGCTAAATCCCTGGCCCCTTGAAGTCTGTTTTTAAAGTGGGTGGAGGTAAAGTGCTTCAATCACAATTTCATCACCTGTTATAGCTTATATCTAGATGTCTTCCCAAAGCTTCATGCAGTCATAGGTGGGCTTTTTGGAGGTGGCTGGGGGCTTTTCGGAGGTGTGAATATGGATTAAGGGTGTGACGCTGGAATTACAGGTGTGTCACTAAATTAGTCCACTGATTGATTAATCATAGTTCTGGATGTGGGTGACACCACCCAAAAGGCTTACAGTCTGGATGGGATAAAAGGAAAAGGGAGGCTTGCTGCTGCTATTGATCCTTTCTGCTGCCTTCTGCCTACCTTGCCATGGACTGTTTCTCCTCTGTGAAGTCCCTCTGCCATGCTGCCTTCCTTGGGAGCCAGATGACTCTGGACTGAAACCTCTACAAACTGAGCTAAAATAAACTTTTCCGCTTTAATTTGTGGGTGTCAGGTATTTTGTCTCAGCAACAAGAAAGTAACTACGACACTACCTCACATCCACCAACTGACACCCATGTGTTCAAGGCCTGCAGGATATTAAACACAACTTAAAGCTTTCCTGGGCTCAAGATATATGCTTACAATTGCCTACTACACAAGTGGGCTGAGAAACTGGTCCCACTGGTCCCTCAAAGCCACATGTCTAAAAATGAACTCCACAATTCTGCCTTTCCTTCTGTATTCAACATTTTTATGGTGGTGGGTGCTGGAGTGTAGCTGCCAATAAGATAGTCATGGTCCCTACCTTCACCATTTTTACAGTCTCATAGGGAATGACTAAAAGTGATAGGCTCATGGAGCTGAGAGGAAATCCTGTATGGGTAGGTAAGTGTCAGATGTGCAAGGGAGAAGAGATTGCCCTGTTGCAGAAAGCCATGGTGGCCACAAAGAGTCTACACTTGTCCTTGAGACAAGGGAAGGCGATGAAGAGATTTAAGCAGAAGTAACAAGTTCAGTTTTGTGTTTGAAAAACATTACTCTGACTTATGCCACAGGGACAGCTTGGAAACAGGAAGACTAGCTTAAAAACTGTCACCACCTTTAAAATGACAAGTAGGGCCATGGACTCCAGAAGAGTAGATGAATGTGCAATTAGTTCTAGAAGTACAAGCCTTGAACTTGCCTGTGGGAATAAGGAATAAAAATATAAAAGATGACCCCAGGTTCGTGGCTTAGAAAGCTAGCTAATGGGATGGTGGGATAGCTGTTACAATGAGGCCCCTGGGAATCATGACCACCCAGATGTTCAGGCAGAAACTGAGTTTCACACCCCACCCTACTCCCATCTACTAGGTATATCACTGAAGTCACAAGTCAGTTATGGCACTGCCTGTTTAATCTCTTCAGCCTCCATCCCATCCTCTGAACCATAATCAATCACAATGCTCCCTAAAATCCTACAATAGGTTACCTACCAATTCTACCATGAACCCCATAACTCCTGGTAGTGTATCTCTGGGCCCTGATGACCTGGCCCTTGCCTTCCATGTGCACAGTATCCTCCAATCGCATTAGATTATTAAAAATTATAATCCTTTCTCAAATCTATACTTTTTCTCACTCCCTGTTTTTGTATGGCCACCTGTCCTGCCTGGAATACCCCATTCTCCTTTTAGGACTTGCTCAAATGAACAAACTTTAACCATCTTTATTACAAACTTAATCACGTGATTAAAGTCAATGCTACCAAAAAAGGGGACACACTGACATTCATGTTGTCACTTCAGTTATGTCTGTATTTCAAATAAATAAGCTGAATTTAATAACACATAAACATCAGAGGAGCACAAATTGAAAAACATTCTACAAAATAATTAGCTAGTATTCTTCAAAAATGTCAAGGTCATTAAAGACAAAGAAAGATTGAGGAACCACTGCAGATTAGAGACCAAAGGTATTATGATTACATAATGGGGATTCTATGGAGCTGCACCACAAAAAGGACATCTGTGGAACAAATGTGAATGAAGTTTATATATTAGATAAAAAGCACTGTATGACCGTTGAATGTATTAGTGATTTTGTTGACGCCACTGTGATTGTGTAAAATGTTAGTATTTGAGTCATATGGGCAAAACATACACAGAAATTAATTCTTTGTGCCATTTTACAAGTCTAACACTAGTTGAAAATTAAGACTTTATTTTTAATTAGCTCAGATTCAGCCTGATATTTGTGCAATTGTGCACAATTATCCCTACACCTGCCATGCAACCAGCCAACCTTGGCTCCCACGGCCCTGGAACACATTCTATTACAACATTCACCACAGGGTCCTGTTGGTTTACATTTTGTAGCAAATGCCAGTACTGCTTAACAGAAACATACTGGAAAGCATCTGTAAGTTTTAATTTTCTAGCAGCCACAATAACAGTAAAAAGAAATGGGTAAAACTAACTTTAATAATATAGTTAGCCCAACATAATAAAAATACTACTCACATAGTCAGTAATAAAAAGATATTGAGACATTTAATATTCCCTTCCCCTTTTTTTGGTACCGGGGATCAAACTTGGGACCTTGCACTTGCGAGGGCAGGTGGCGGAACCATTGAGCTAAATCCCTGGCCCCTAATGTTCCCTTCTTGAGGTGATATGAAGTCTTCAAATACTGGCTGTATCCCACACATACTGACCATCTCAATTCAGACTAACTAGCTACAGCTCAAATGCTCAACAGCCTAATGTGGCCATGTGGCTATTATACAAAACATTATGTATAAACTATGGGTTCCTTAAGTGGAGAAACTGCGTACATATATATATCACCTAACACTGAGTAAAAAGTTCCGTGGGCTTCCCAACAATTCCCGAAAAGGCCCTGAGCTCCTCACCAGCCCCCAAGGGTAGGAACTTACGAGTACAGCAGATTCCTCTTTGTCCATCTTCTGGCACGTCTCGTTCTCTATGCCTAAAACACAAAATCGTTTTTATAGCTATCCCGAAAAAGCAGTTCCTTTCCCTCCTAGTAAAAGACTCTTGGATGCCCCAGTGCAGGCCTGAGAAGACTATGAGTACACTAGAAGCATTTCAGGACTTTAAAGAGAACTTTGGCATTTGTTGGATTCTGTCTGTTTGTTGTCAGAGCCCAATCACCTTCAGAAAAAAGAGGAGTGCATAGTCAGCCATCAACACTGTCAATCTTCAAGCAGAAAAAGCAGTAGGAGGGACCGGGGATTTAGCTCAGTGGTTTCGCCGCCTGCTGCACGAGCTCAAGGACCCAAGTTCAATCCCCGGTACCAAAAAAAAAAAAAGAGCAGCAGGGCTGCCCTTATGTTCACTGAAAGTTTAGTGAGTTGTACTAAACATGGAATTGTTTCAGAAAGAGGAAACTATAACATTGAATGCTATTTTATTACTAAGTCTGAGTGAATCTAAATTCTAGCCCCAAAGGACACCCTCAACCTAGGTAATGCAGTAGATAAAATAATAAGCTTTAAATTTCAAGCTAGCAAAACTACTACCCTTTCTATACCTTTCTAGTTGGTTTCCTTGTGTCAGGTTTACTTTTCACTCTGACTCTAGAGAAAAATCAAAACTAGAATATGTCCTCATCATAGAAAATTTAGATATAGAAAAGCACACAGAATGTAAAACTACACTCTTCCATGTAACAATAAGTATCATTTTAGTCAATCATTAATTATTTAAAACACAAAGTGACCATCACTCCCATGCTCAAAACCCTTCAAAGCCTTCCCTGATCTATCTGATCAACCCCAAATTCCTTGCTACAGTCCTGTTTCCCACATGCCCTATACTCACAGAAAGCTAACAGGCATTTTACCAACAGGGTCCCTCCCATAGCTCCATTTCCCGAACATCTCTGTATAGATCCATACAGGTCCACCACCACAGTGACTCTCCAGTCAATAGTCCTTGATTTTTTCCAGTAGCCACCCGCCCTTCTACCCCCAATGGCCAAGGTCTCTGCTTGCTTCTTTGATAAAGCTCATCAGTTACAATGTAACAGCTTGTGTAAATCTGTTCTGCTTTTCCAAAGTCAACCAGCCAGCTTACTGAGAATAGCACAATATATAATAGTGCCCTAGTTCTCTCTCTATAAATCCTTGTTCAAGGAATTTTCTCCAGTGAGGAAGGGTACAACTCAATAAATATTTACCATGTACTTGTATCAAACAAAATTCAAAGATGCAACTCTCACAGTCCCTAATTTTGAGACATTTATAACATTTCCCCTTCTACAATGAACGCACTGTGCTAGGTACTATGGAATGTGAAGGCCAAGAAGAAATGCTGTGGGAGCACAGGGTTTAGTTGAACCCAAGAAACATTCAAGACAGACCTGGAAGGATGGGTAGAACTTTTGTAGAAGACGGCAAAAAAAAAAAAAAAAGATATTTCAGATACATAGATTTAAAAAAGGAGGCCTAAGAGTACAGTATTCAGGATTAAGCCAGGTATAGTGGCACAGAACTGTCATCCTAGTACTCCAGAGGCTAAGGCAAGAGGATCACAAGTTCCGGCCAGCCAGGGCTACCTACCAGTTTCAACCCCAGCATAAGCTACATAGTGAGACCATGTCTGGGGGTGGGGGGTGGGGTGGCAAAAGGGATACCAATCAGAATGGTGACAGGGCCTTTGGGAAAGAAATCAAGAACTTTACTGGAGTAAAGTGTTAATCTATATACAGCATTCAGAACAATAGTTGTATATTGTAAGACGCTACACGTTTAGTTATTAAACAATAATTACAAAAAACCTAAAGGCATGACATATTTATAGGCCACTATACTTTACAATTTGCCCATATTAACATGAAACTATTGAGAAATTCAAGCACTATATCATATATCAGTGTCTCCTGGACAGCCTGCTACACTTATACATGTGTCTGTAGTATTTCAATAAAGTTTTGGGGGGTCTCTTTTCTAGGTAAAGCAGCAAAGCACAGATCAGCATCTGAAACCTATCCCCCAAGGGACCGTGTTCTCTAATCTCTCTAGAGGTTGCACCTCCTGCTTCAGGGTTTCAAGCATTTCTATGCTTATGAGACGAAGAAGATGAAGATATGCTTCCGTACCTGCTTCTGAGGATGAGAACGCATGATTTATGGTAGACACGGGAACATTGGAACATTCAAAGTACTCCAGGTCTTCCTCTGGCTCACCTTTCACCATGGCCCCAGCTGATTTCTGAATGCATGACGTGGATGCCAATTTCTCCTCGTCTGTAGCATGGCCATCCCTATTAGAAAGGTCTGAAATCTGGGAGATCACTGCTCCTTCATCCTGGAAATTCGACACAGAAATCATTACCCATTGGGGGACAAACAACGAGGAAAAATAACATTTCAGAAAATGAAGCAAGCAGCCACATTCCACACAAATATATGTCTATACGGGCCTTCCCAAATGGTTTTAGGACCTTAAGGATATGAAAATTGGTTTCCTTAAAGTTGAGTACTCAGACACCAACTCTGAAATACTCCTGGAGGACGCAAATTCTAGTTTGGGGATCGCTGGTCTATGGGTCTGGTGATACATACAGACTTACCTGACAAGTTTCCAAAGCAAGAGACTGACTTTCATATTTCTTCCCCTTACAGCCACTCCTGGAAAGAGAAAAAACACAAACAAGCCAGTTTGGAATCACAATGACAACTTTCAAGGAATGAGATGGAGCAGAGCGCAGTGTATGCAGGTAGAAGCCAAAGCATACGACAGCACACATATCAAACATCTGCACAGTAGAGACCCAGACACCTTTGCTGTCTCCGAGTCTTCTCTCAACAGGCAAGGCAAGCAAAGAATGATGGCTAGGTTCACTGTCCAAAAAGACCACCTTGTTTGCTTCTGTGGATTTTCAAACACCAATACTCTGACTCTTTCCATGTTTAATTACCCACCACCAAAAGCCTTCCAGATAGTACAGTCTTAGCATTTAAAGAGGTTCCATTCTGATCTTTAGTCACTTCACTTTGATGTTCATCAGAAAAATCATCACGCTGGACCAGATTCTTTAAAAATTCTTTATTGCCCTAAAAGCCACAGAAGTCTCCTAAGACAGCTCCAGTCTAGACCTAGGTGTTTACAGAAAAGAATTGTGGTCAACAGAGGGTATAAAAGTAAAAGTATTTGAGTAAACTGTTAGCGTTCTTATTAAGTAGTTACAACTTTTTTTTAGTATACGTGCTGCCAAAGCGAGCACAACCATTCTTACTAAGTAGTAAGGTGGAAGATGAGCACCATGTACTGTATAAAGCCCAGAACTGGAGAAAACTTGGACCTGTTATTTTTAGATTAGACATCATTTGTGATCATAATATTATTTCATGTTTTGCTATTTTAATGAAGTTAAGATTTCCAGTAACTGCTACTCTGCCAAAAAGAAATTATTTTCAACTTACTTTTCTCTGGTGGAAAAAAAACTAAAAGACAAGCCCAAAGGTTATTAGGAAATGCACAATCACTAGTTCATGGTCTTATTTCCTAATGCTGTTAGTAGGTGCCAACCTCTGTCACTAAAGTTGACTCAGTAAAATTTATCAGCAAAATTTTCCACCTGTTCCAAGCAGCCTTATACTACTTTTAAAAATCTAATTATTTCCTTTCTTTTTTTCAGGACCTTGCACTTGCAAGGCAGGTGTGGTGCCACTGAGTTAAATATCCCCAGCCCAAAAAATCTAATTATTTCCAACATTAAATAGCAGTCCAGTCCCTCAAACCTGATGATCTTGGAGCCAAGCCAGGTCTTGACATCTAAAGTGCCACATGACGTGTGCCAAGCCAGGGTGTGCAAGCTCTCGTACCTAAGGTGGGAAAGAAGGGCGCTCTCCACTCCTTTAGGTACAAACAATGCAAGGCTAAGCTGACTCAGGAAATGTCAAATGAAATGCAAAAAAAAAAAAAAAAATCATCAGAAGATCAAACTCAGGGCCAGGGATTTAGCTCAGTGGTTTCGCCACCTGCTGTGCAAGCGCAAGGACCTGAGTTCGATCCCTGGTACCAAAGAAATCAAACTCAAACGAGTCGGAAGATCAAACTCAGAAAACAGAAGCCAACATGCTATGGAGAGAGTTGGGGCAGGGGTGAGGCAGCAAACTGCCAACAGTCCCAGGGAAAATCAGAAATAGCAAGAGTACTTACAACAGAAAACAGAGAAATTTCACTTGCTCAGTGGTCCTGATGCACCAACAAAATTAGAGACAGGAAAGAGACAGACAGATGGAGAAAAAAATCATGTAAAGAGTAGAAATTTATCTTTAGTCCGGTAGATACAAAAGCTACACAGTTCTTTCTATGAGGTGAGATATAAATTAAAAATGTCATACTCATGAATGTTAGCACTATTGAATGGTTAACCGCATAACTCTAATGGAGTAGGAGTGGTTAAACACTCAGAAATGCCACATATTCAACTTGTAGATGAAAAATGCACTCCTAAATATGTGAAAATGTATAAAAGCAGTATTTCACTCCTGAACATATTTAGTCTCTACTCTCTAGTCACTCAGATTAAAGGCAAAATATGAATAAAAATATATTTGTAAAAAGATATTTGGTTACCTTTACATTAAGTGTAAACTTCTGATTTCATATAATTTATCTTATTTGATGTGCAAAATCCCAATCATATAATGTCTCCATTTTATAGAAGAATCTAGAAGTCAATTATATACATCTTTTGGGGTTGTTTTTTTTTGGTACTGGGGATCGAACTCAGGTCCTTACGCTTGCATAGCAGGCAGCAAAACCACTGAGCTAAATCCCTGGCCCTATATACATCCTTTTGGATGTAATGCAAAACTTCTAACTACAGTATCCACTAGATGCTACCACCAAATATATTTTCAGTCTTTTCTACAAATGAAGGGTTCTGTTAACCAAGAACCTAGTGTTCCACAAGAGGTCTAACAAACCTTTCTTGCAGAAAAAAGAGTTTTGTCTGTTTGTTTGAACCCAGGGCCTTCCCACAAGCTACATCTCCAGCCCTTTTTATTTATTTATTTTAAATTTTGAGACAGGGTCTCACTAATCCACTAAATTGCCTGGACTTGAACTTTAAGCTTCTCCTGCCTTTGGCTCCTAAAACTGCAGGGATGACAGATGCGAGCCACAACATCCAACAGGATAAGCATTTTGATTATGTAAGAAATTACAAGATACATTAGATCAAGAAGTTCAAGGGCCAGAGATTTAGCTCAGTGGTTCAGCCGCCTGCCTTGCAAGTGCAAGGACCTGAGTTTGATCCCTGGTACCAAAAAAGAAGTTCATTTGACAAAAACAGAATAGAGGAAAATGCTGCCAGCTGAGAATGGCAAACTCAAGACAGAATGCTTCTTGGTGCTGAATATAAAGAGTAAATTTCTCCCTTGTTGGCTAGTTAATCTTCTCTGACATGAATGCACTGGCTAATATTGTCAGCATGCAGCTGGAAGGAAGGCTTCTCAAATGACTACTTATCAGCTGAGGTAGGCAGAAGCAGCTCATGTTCAGGAGAGGAAGTACCAAGGTAGTGAAGTGTCCCATACGTACCCCACATGCTGGCTAGATCTAAGTACCTAACCTTAACACAGCCACAAGAGGACTGTGTGAACACCTAACCAGTAATATATTTCAACAATCATTAACTGCTCCTACATAGTCAGAACAGATCAAGAGCTACTGACATTTCATTCCCCTCAGACAAAGTAGGGGATATGCCGGAGTTATTACAGAACTGATACCTACACTGCTCAACCTTTATGTCTTGAAACAATTATTTCTGCTCTTTAAAGCTCTGGATTTTCTTTCCCAGTATAATTCACTATCTAGTGCTTTTTCTAAGTCATCATAATGCTGAAAAGTATTTCCACAAATGACTTCGTGATAACTACAAATACCATACTTCGGTCCGGGGATTTAGCTCAGTGGTTCCAGCGCCTGCCTCGCAAGCGCAAGGTCCCAAGTTTGATCCCCGGTACCAAAAAAAAAACAAACAAATACCATACTTCTCATTTTCCCTTTCCTTTATGTCTAATATTTAGTAAAATGTCACAATGTCACAAAGGGGTATTTTTGTGACACAGTAATCCTGTAACAAAGTTAAACTGAAACTTGACATAGAGTATGGCCTGAGGGATCACTCAAGGAAATTAAAAAACTTGCAAAAATCATTCATGTTTCCCAGGAGAAATGAGGAGACGGAGGGAGCACACAATAAAAGTTATTCAGGTTTAACTGATCATTTAAAATAGTCTTGATACACAATAGAAATTTGCCTTCTTACTAATGAACCAAAAACATACATGAAGATAAGTAGTCTCATCAACTTTTCATAGCAAATTTGTTTTCAAGAATAGCAACACAGCTAGGGATTTAGCTCAGTGGTTCCGCCACCTGCCTCACGAGCACAATGTCCCCGAGTTCGATCCCTGGTACCAAAAAAAAAAAAAGAATAGCAACAACAAAAAAACCCCACAGCTTTCTGTTTAGAAAAACACTTACCTAAGATTCTTGTGGACCATTTCCACATTACTGACACTAGACAGGTAATTTTTAGTTTTGGAACTTTTTTTTTTATCCATAGGGAATCTGAAGATGGTGGCTAGCACTGACACTTGAATTCTGCACTCAGTGATTCTCAGCAAGGATTTCTGAAAACCATCAAATCTAATTTTTTTAAACATTAAAAGAGGTATTCGGGGTGGGAGGAAAACAGCTTGGCTAAGTATACTGAGGATTCAGAAATAAGTTAGAAATCTACAAAGGAAACCTAATATTTCTAACCCCACACAAGAGTTAGGCAAAACAGTGAAAAATGCAGCATAAAAGCTTTGTTTGTGCCCCCACTGCACCTCAAAGATAAATGCAGTTCACCAAAACCAAAGCAGCTGGCCGCCAAACCCACAGAGAATACTAAACAGAACACAATGCCCAGCACCCACTGTCACTCACGTTATTAAACGCGACTTTGACTTCTTGGGTGAGTCTAAGATTTCATTAACATGATTACCCGTAGAAGAACAGAAGTCACGGCTTGTTAAAGTTGTAGTTGGTTTAAAAGGATCCATGGATTCACTGAAGTTATCTGGGTCACAATCATAGGAGCCCTTAGAGGAGAGGGGTGGGGAGCTCTGCAGAGAGGAGTGGCTCCCAAAGGAATTAGAGCTGGGATGATCCCACTGACCAGGCTCTAGCTTAGAAGGCACCTGGGAGAGAGAGGTGTCTCTAGCTGTGGGGTCTGCAGGCTGTTCTACATCTACTGGCCCATGGATACCATCTTTCTGTATCTTGGGAGTCAGTTTGTTACCCGGTTTCCTGCCAAGTTTCCTTGGAAAGGCTTTCCTGCCCTCTATGTTTTCAGTATCTTCTGTGAAATCGAACTCAAGCTTGAGAGGTGAGCTTCTTATCTCTTCTTGTGGCTCAATCCCTGAGTCAGTGGAGTCACTAATGAAAGTGTCTGAAGCTTCCTTAAGGCCAGGGGGAGATCTCTGGCTTCTGTCACCTCCCAGCAGAGCAGGACATACATTCTCATCTAATTCTTCAGGGTTTGTCTGATAAGACACCCTGGCAAGAGGTCTTCCCTCTGTGGTAGTTTCCATCCCTGAGAATTCTCCCCCAATTGTTTTCTTCCGAAAGGACACAGGTTTGGGCTTTTTCAGCTTGCTTCTACTGGCCACAGGCTCTGGACAGGAACTTCTAGCTTTTAAGTCACCTTCTGCAGACGCTTCGAGTGTAACCCCCATGCTGCCTTCTGTCACTGCCTTGTCCTGGGTGGCTCGTGGCATGCTGGAGGGCAAAGCCTCGCCTGAGACTGCAGTTACATAGCCATGGGCCGCTTCTGTTCCAAGAGCTGCTGTGGTATCGGAGGGATTCTTGGTTTCTATTGAAAACGGCCTCACTACTGAAATTTTGCTGGTATCATGACTAGTTTCTTCTTGGAAATCCCTCACTGAGAGAGGATCGGTGGCTGGCTGTGGTACTTCATTTCCTGAAGATCCAGAAAAAGTCTCAGGTGAGTGTTTGTCAAACACTTCTGCTATTAGCTGTTCATCAGCTTGTAATTCTAAAACAAAAAACAAAAATCATCTATTAAAGAAGTATCTTTCTAGCACTGATAAATATTTTCTATTACTAAATTCACACACAAAAATAGTGAGCAGTTCCCTTTTTATTTTTACTAAGCATCTCTAAGGTTCAGCAAGGACAACAGTATAGCCTAAAAGGTAAGAGCTGGAACTATGCCCTAAAATGAATTTCTCTAGCCCAAGCCATTTATGTGCATTATCCAACTGATATAAATAACAATTATGCCAATACTACTGATGCTTAGGAAAAGGATAAGTAGACTGAGGATCTATGCAAAGTGTACTGTGTGATGTTAAACATCCTGAAGGCTGAAATGCTCTGGAGGAAACTTTCAACTCAAACAGGACTGAGGCAGCTCCCAGAACCAGAGCAAGAGTTCCAGGGTCAGAACTTCATGAAGCAAACAGATCTGAATCTTTGGATGTTAAAAACACAAGTATTTGGGCCGGGGGGTTTAGCTCAGTGGTTTCACCACCTGCTGCGCAAGCACAAGGACACAAGTTCAATCCCTGGTACCAAAAAAACAAAACAAAACAAAACAAAACAAAACAAAAGACAAGTATTCCCTATTGCACAGGACAGAATTAAATAATCAAACTGTTTCAAAAATAAATTAAAAAACCACCATAGCCAGCTAAGAATCACTTCTCTGTGAATCTAAAAACTAGAAGAACCAAATAAAAAAGCAAATCTGAAAAAACAGGTATAGAAATGGCTTTAAAAATAACCCTTATTTAAAAAAGACACAAATCATAAAGCAATGTGGATTTGGTTGCTGTTGTTGTTATTGTTGTTGTTTTTAATTTAGAATTTCTGTCTCCAGGCTGGACCAGAAATTATCTTAATAACTTATGAAAAATAATTGAAGTTTTTGGGTTTTTTTTGGTACCGGGAATGGAACTCGTGTCCTTGCGCTTGCAAGGCAGGCAGTGGAACCACGGAGCTAAATCCCCAGCCCTAATTGAAGTTTTAAAAGAAAAAAATGCTGCAAATTATCAGAATGGTGTAAATAAAGGAATTTTTATAAAGCATAAATTAAGTGCTTTCCTATCTGAAATAGTAATAGAGTGGCAGCAAAAACTGGGTAAACTGGTTTCTATCATATCTCATGATTTTAAAGGAGATTCAGAGATGATTCTCTAATTCTACCTCCTAATTCTAATCCAAGATCAAAGAGTTGAGCATCTCTGGAATCATTCTTTAAAGCATTCACATGTCTTTATCAAGACTCTTTTATGAATTATTGCAATTGGGCAGGTTATAAATTATAATGTGCACAGATGTTTCAGATAATTTACAAATGTCCAATTTCAGTTTTGTTTTTAAACGTGTTTAACTATTATTGTGTGTAAAAAACTTTCAGGGCTTGATACCTCGAATCTGCCATAACATATTTCAGAAAGATTTTTTTTTATTTTAAAGAAAGTAAATACACCAAAATCTTAATAACTGTTGTCCAGAAATGGGTATATGGGAACTTTCACTGTACTATTCATTCTGCTGTGCAGTCTTGAAACTTTTCATTAAAAGTTTAAAACTCAAATGTGGGGCTGGTGATTTAGCTCAGTGGTTTCACCGCCTGCCTTGCAAGCACAATGTCCTGAGTTCAATCCCTGGCACAAAAAAACAAAACAAAACAAAACAAAACAAAAAACAAAAAAAACCCCTCAAATGTATTACATATGAAGTTTTAAAAGAAATATATATATATATTTTTTGGTACCGGGGATCGAACTTGGGTCCTTGCACTTGCACAGCAGGTGGAGAAACCACTGAGCTAAATCCCTGGCCCTTAAAAGAAATATTTTAAAATGTACTGATAACTTACGTGTGCCGATTCTATTACTTATCTCTATATATCTGAACTGTTGTGTCACTGATTGATTATTTGTGTGGTAAGAGGAAGAGGAAGACAAACAATACTAAAAACACATCATCAAAACCTTTAGGAGGGGCCGGGGATTTAGCTCAACGGTTCTGCTGCCTGCTCGAAAACCCAAGGTCCTGAGTTAGATCCCTGGTACCAAAAAATCCCAAAAAAACAGACCAAAACAAACAAACAAACAAACAAAAAAACCTTAGGGATACAAATATCCAAGAGTATCTATGTGCATCAAGCTCAGTTAAAAGAGCCTGTCCAGTTGTATAATAAACACAGAAACAAAATAAGAGCCAAGATATATCATATAAAGGTACAAATTCCCAATGATGAAATGTCATCGGATGATATTCTATACCTAAAATGTACCAATAAACTTAATGAATTAAAAAAAATAAAATACATAGAATCTTTATTATATCAAGCTATAGATTATCACTTTTTAAGTTTTGGTGCTTTATCTCAGCCTATAAGATTTGACACAGGTGCTGTAATAAAAATATGTATTTGATCTTTGTCCTCACTGCCTAGCCCAGAGCTCCTAAAACCCCTGAAATTTCTTAAGTGGTAAGTGTCTTCTGTATGGGGTTTACTGATTTGAGGGGTGTGCCTAGATTGCTTCAAGACAGAAAGAAGCTAGTTACCAGAATGATCAAACCCAGATTAAAGGGTTGGAACTTTCAGTGTCACCCTGGCCCCTTTCAGGAAGGGGAGAGCAGCTGGAGATTAGAATTCAATCACCAATGGCCAGCCAGGCTCTGTGTACAAGCTACTTGGGAGGTTGAGACAGAAGGATCACAACTTTCAGGCCAGCCTGGGCAACTTAGCAAGACCCTATCTCAAAATAAAATAAAAAGGGGGAAAAATAAGGTCAGAGGCAAAGCATGTATGAAACCCTGGGTTCAATCCTTTGCACTGGAAAAAAAATCTTCAATGGGCAATAACTTAATTAAACATGCCACATGATGAAACTTCTATAAAGCCCCTACATGACAAAGTTGGGAGGTTCCAGGCTGGTAAACACACTGACTTCTGGGAGGGTGATGCACCCGGAGAGGGCATAGAAGCTCTGCACCTGTGTCGTATACCTTGCTTGCCTTATCCACTTCTTCTATTTGGCTGTTCCCAAGTTGATCCTTATAATGAACCAGTAAATGTCAGTATTTCCCTGACCTCTGTGAGTCATTTTAGCAAATTATGGTACCTAAGGAGGGGGTTATGGAACCTCCAAAGTGAAAGCCACTGAGTCAAAAATACATACTGGAACTTGTGATGGGTGTCTGAAGTAGGGCAGTCTCATGAGACTGAACTCTTAGTTTATGAGATCTGGACTAACTTTGGAGAGTATCAGATCTGAACTAACTTATGGACACCCAGTCGGTGTTGGAGAATCTAAGACTGCATTTGATAGAACATTTGCCTTGAAACAGTGAATATTTGATAGACATGGCCAGTAAAATAGCTGAAATCTTTTTAAATGACACTTTTAAATCAATATTTTGCATGAAATCGAAAAACTCATGAAACATTGTCGTTTCTAAATTTTACATCTACAAAATTAAGAAATGAACTGCTAGACATTTAGCAATTCAACTTTATAACACAACTTTCCTGTTTCTTTCAGACTTCTGCAACAGTTTAATTAACACATATCTCACTGAATTAACCTGAATTAAAGGGTACTGAATTTTTAAAAAATCATTTGTAATTACCATCATACATATAACAAGGTTCTCTCAATAACCTATAACCTAAACGCTACTGAAATAAGCCTAGATTTTAATTTCATCTTGATTTAGTTTGGTATGTTTCAATCTCATAAGTTCTACTGTTTCTAAAACTAATGTTTTGAGTCTTTACTATTAGAATACCTATCAACTTCATCTGTTATATATTAGTGTCTGTGTAATATTTTCTTTTAGGGGAAGGTTCCATGTCCTAGTGATTTTGAAAACTATAGTTAAAGGGCAAAGTCCATCTCTAAAAGATGGTAAGATAGGTGGGAGGGAGGTGTAAGAAACGGTAATGACAAGCCAGGCGTGGTGGTGCATGCCTGTAATCCCAGCACTCAGGAGGCTGAGGCAGGAGGATCACCGAGAGTTCCAGGCCAGCGTGAGCTACATAGTGAGTTCAAGCCCAGCCTGAAATACATAGTGAGACCCTGTCTCAAAAACAAAAACAAAAACAAGGGCTGGGGATTTAGCTCAACGGTTCCACTGCCTGCCTTGCAAGCACAAGGACCCAAGTTCGATCCCCGATCCCTGAGTTCGATCCCCAGTACCAAAACAAAACAAAAACAGAAAGGTAATGGAGAGGATGGGAAAACAGCTATAAATTATATCATTAAGAGATGATGTTAACATGGACTTATTGAGGTGGAAAGGGGTCCACTGAGCTACATCTCCAGCCTTTTTTTTGGGTACTGAGGATCAAACTCAGGACTTTGCACTTGCGAGGCAGGCACAGTGCCACTGAGCTAAATCCCTGCCCTCTCCAGCCCTTTTTTTATTTTGAGTCAGGGTCTCACTACATTGCTAAATTGCTTAGGCTGGGCTCAAACTTACACCCTCCTGCCAACCAGAGTGCTGAGATCACAGGTATGTGTTACCACACCCACCTTAACAATCATTATACTTTAGGGAATTTCTGATTGTTTTTTATTTAGGTTGACAACATGAATGACAATAAGTAAGATGCACTGAGGGCTTGTATGGGCTGGCCAATGGGCCACTAAGAGCTCCCCAGATTATTCTATTGAGCCTAGACAAGTCTTAACTAATATATAAATCCAAGTCTGTCCAAATCCAGGGCCTGCCTGCTAAACCATATATATGTTAGATCATCTATTTAAAACCAGAATAAATACAGTGGCACCTCACTATCCATGGGGATATGTTCTACAACCCCTGTAAGACGCCTGAAACCGATAGCACCAACCCTATAATGTAATGCCTTTCCATCTTAACTAAGTGCTTAAACACGATAGCTGCCACTTTCGCAGTTTAAGGCCTAACAGCAAAACTAACATGAATTTCTTTTTCCTTTTTCACAAGTTCACAGATAGAAGATTGGTTCTTACTATAGATCTAACAGAGATC